CGTGACCAGTGAGATCATATGCCATGAACTGAGGACTGTGATCAGCTCAATCTCTGCACCTGAGGTCAGTCACGATTTTAAGATTTTGAAGTAAACCGCAACAATTTCAGACAGTCAGAAATTTCTTCTTTGTGACATGTTTCATGCTCCACAACGGTAGAGGTCTTATTATGATACAATGGCCACTTCTATCTGGCCCCCCAGGTTCTAATTTTCCTTCTGTTTTACACCAGATTGTAAGAGTACAGGAAATCATTATTACCAAAAATAATTCCTCACATTGTCAATTGTATAAAAAAGAGAAATACAACTATCTATGTATATATACAGGAGCTCTGGTAGCATAGTGCCTAAGGCATCTGACTGCTAACCAGAAGGCTGGAGGTTCAAACCCACCAGCCACATCTTGGAAGGAAGGTTGGGCAGTCTACTTCTGTAGTGATACCACCTTGGAAACCCACGGAGGGGTTGCTATGAGTCGGGTCCGACTCAACGGCACATAATAACAACAACAACCTGTGTATGTATATGGGTGTTTGTTGCCTAAGGCATTTGACTGCTAACCAGAAGCCTGGTGGTTCAAACCCACCAGCCCCTCCTGAGAAGGAATGTTGGGCAATCTACTTTTGTAGTGATCCTGCCTTGGAAACCCAAGGAGGGATCTCTCTGAGTCGGATCCAACTCGATGGCAGTGAGGTTTTTTTTTTTTACTTCCGTAGTGATACTGCCTCGGAAACCCAAGGAGGGGTCGCTATGAGTCGGGCTGACTAGACGGCACATAACAACAACAACAACAACAACTAATATATACAATACAATCTGGTGTTAGGACTAAACATGTTCTCAGTTGAAACAATTTTATAAATAGACACTTCAGTCAGCACATAGGATTAATGATCCTGTATTTTAATCCCTAATCTACTGTGCATTTTAAAGAAGCAGTTATCTTTGACGTAAGATTTTTAATCAATAAAGAGTAGAAATTCTATAATATTATTTCCCATCTCCTGTCTTATACAACAAAAATAATTATAATGGTTTCCAATTCATGAGAGTTTATTTATGACAAACATTGTGCCCAACACTTTGTATATTTATGTATTTAATCTTATATAGTCTTCATTATAGTCCTACAGGGAGGTATTTTACATTTATTTATATAGGTAAAATACATGAATTATATAGCAATTAAGTCCAAAGAGTTTCAATAGCTGGCATAGGGTCACCCTGCCAGTAAGTGGCAAAGAAGGCATCTAATCTAGGTCTATGTGAAAGCTATTGAAATAGAAGTGTAAGTACAAACAAGAAGAGGAGTAAAACAGACTTCTCAGAGAAAAAATATGACAGATCCAGATTTTGAGCTTGATGTTGACAGTGAGTTGTGCCACACTCTTAACTTCCACTATTTAAGAGAGAAAAGCCTGTAAAAGTAAGGACACTCAAATTTCATGTTGATATCTCATGCTTGATGTTAAAAATAAATATTTTTCAAGAGCAAAATAATTTTTCCTTTAAATTAAAATAACCCCAAGGTTTTAAATGATTATTTCCCATTGTATGGCTCCCTTCCTGTCACTGTTTTTGAGCTAGAACATGGAGTTCTTGGTGGGGAAAGGAAGGGCATGATCATCAATCTCCATTAATAGCCTTGAGTGATTTCTAAACATTGTCTAATGATTTCTTAGTTGATAGACCTGTAAATACTCGTGTGTTAGATGAACTAGTCATCCATATTTGAGATTTTATTTAAACTCTGAATGTGCCTTTCATATTTATCTGCTTCAGATAATACCACATGAATTGGGTAGATCATTTAAAATTCTACTCCTTTTTCAAATACATTTCTTGGAGTTATGCCAATAAAAAGTAGAACTCTGATTATGAGAGTTTAGTATTTGGGGAGAAAGAAAATTATTGTTATGTTCTAAAGGTAGGGTACAGGGGTACATTAGAGCAGTGCCCACAAAAGTGACATAATAGTAAAACCGAAATCTGTGGTTTTTCAGATGTTCAAGTTCATTGTAGAGACAAAAGGTAGAATGATATAGTACAAGCCTTTATTTTATCAACTGAGTCCAAGTATAGTCTACAGTCCACTTATATATTAGTCTTAAGATAACCTTAAATACATCTCCCTCTTTGTCATCTTTTCTCTTTCATTAGTCATCTTGTTTTTCAAAATGAAAACAGTTTTATTTCATAGAAAGTAAGAGAGGAGATTTGTCTTATGAAAATTGTACTGTTCTCAGTTGACAGGTTGAAATTTGTTGTCCTTCAGCAAACACTAGGCTATGGGCAAATGAAATAGACAGGTGAGAAGATCAGTTAGGGGTAGGAGAACAGGAACATACTCAAGACCAAGGATAGATTTGGCTGAAGACAGTCTTACATATGTACTTGTGCTATAAAATTATCCACATATATTACAGAAGTAACAGAGGAGAAGGGGTTGGAGCAGCTTTTTAGAGACAATCAAACACCTTGAGGGAGAGAATCACTGGGCCTGCAGGCTTGAGACCATAGTCTCTGGAGACATCATGCTCAATTGGCACAACATCCTCACCTCATTGCCATCGAGTTGGTTCTGACTCATAAAGACCTCTCCTTGGGTTTCCGAGGTGGTATCTCTACAGAAATAGATTGCCCAACCTTCCTTCTGAGGAGTGGCTGGTGGGTTTGAACCACCAGTCTTCTGGTTAGCAGTCAAATGCCTTAGGCACTATGCCACCAGCACTCCCAGCACAACATAGTATATTGTTCTACATCCTACTTTGGTGAGTAGGATAGGTTCTTAAAAGCTTTCAAGTGTCCATCTAAGATGCAACTATTGGTCTCCTCACATCTGGAGCAAAGAGGAGTGAAGAAAATGAAAGTCACTTGGAAATAATTAGTACAAAGATATGATGGACCACAAGGACCTCATGATTATGACCCTGAGACCAGAAGAACTAGATAGTGCCATTCTACCAAGGCCAACCATTCAGAAATGGATCAAAACTGGAGATCCTGGATAGAGTGAGAGGAAAATATGTAACAAAAGTCAAAAACATAAAAATGACCATAATTACTGGTCTGATAGAGACTGGTGGAACCCCCAAGACTATGGCCTTGGGTTATCCTTCAGGCCTGCAAATGGACTCACTTCTGTGAATTGGCTCTCAGCCCAACAGCAGAAAGACCTACAAGCAGAACACCTACCCCAGGGAGATGTACCCCTTAGGTCAGTCAGCCATGAGACATCAGAGGGGCAGCAGTCACATAGAGGGAAAGCTGGACAGATAGGAGTGCATAGACAAGAACGGCACAGGGAGGGGGTAGTCACAGGGATGGGAGGGGAGGAAAGATTTTTATGGTTGGAGATTGTAATGAGGCTGTGAAATCCAATGTGCATGAACTGCTGAGAGTAAAATGAATCTGCTTTGTAAATCTACACCCAAATCACAATAAAAATAAAAATAAAAAAATTGTTGCCCTTATCAATGAAAAAATTTACTGATATCTCTTAAGTGTATTATCTGAGAATTTCATGACCTCTTTCTGTTGGTCCAGCAAAAGGAAGGATGGAGAGATTCATCTCTTTTATACAAATCATCTTTTCTTTCCAATAACCATGAGTGCACTTACATTTGCAAGCATCGGGAGCAGAGAAGGGTCTCCGTAGGTCACGGTAGAAACCTGGCTTACACCGCTGACAGTGCTGACCTTCTGTGTTGTGTTGACAGTTGTTGCAGACACCACCACTACGATTCCCTGATGCTTCCCACACATTAATGTCAAAGTGACAAGTGTCAGCATGCCCATTGCACTTGCAGGCTGGGAAAAGAGAACCATGGAAGGAAAAAATTTAAAATAAAATGACAGGATTCACTAATATTCAGTCAGTTAAAAACAAGTTAAGCTGATTGTATATTTATTTATTTATTTCACAGTACAGGAATAAAAACAATATAAAAAGGTATATACTGAGAACTGTAGTCTCCCTATTCCCATTTACCCTGTTTCCTTTTGCCTTCAATAAATTACTACTATTTTTTCTTTCAGATCCAGTATTTTTTTATAGATTGTTAATATAAAACAACAACAACCATATTTTAGGATATGCCTGAAACCCAACAAAGTATGGATTTATCTAGTTAGGCAGAGATATTATGGTTACCTTAGGAACTGGGGTTGATACTTATTTTGGAGAGATATTTGAGTGGTCAACCGTTTTTTTCCCTCTTTGATGGAAACACCTCACCACTTCCACTCCTGCTGCTTCCCAAGGGCCACTGTCATCACTGTGAGCCACCTGATCTTGTCAGGAAATTTTTGAAAGTGACAAATGAGCAACTAATGAGCCTGAAAAAAACCTTCTGGTTGACAGGGGTGAATAACATGGCAGAGATTGATTTGTCTTTCATGAAGTATTTCCCAGCTGTACAAATGAATATGAGGTAGTCTCCTCAATTTCCTTTCTAAAGGAAAACTATTATAATTATTATTATAGACTTTCTTGTGTAATAATTTCTCAAAGGTATTGCTAAGATTATCAGTCAATAGCGTCAAAGACAAGTTTCTATGTTCTATATGTATTTAGATATGCAGTTGGTTTCTGCGGAAAGGGCGAGAATGGCCCTCTAGGAATTTAGGGGAAATTCTTCAGATTCTCTTGATGAGTGATTTAGATTAAGAATTCAGAGTTTTTCATGAAGGTCAAATGTATTTGAAAATGTTTGTGCTATTGTTTTTCATTGTTTCCTTGACATGTTATGATATTTTGACCAGATTCATAATCTTTAAAAAGCAGATTATAAGATAATTTAAGATTTATGCTTAGAGGAAATCCTTTACATTTCCTAGAAGCAAAAATAAATTGGTTCAATCCCAAATTATGTACACAAAGAGGCTTCTCACAACTTCACCCGCAATAAAAACCCAGTTGCCTCGAGTTGCTTCTGACTCATGGACACTATGAGTGGGTCAGAGGAGAACTGTGCTCCACAGGGTTTCCAGTGGCTGATTTTCCAGAAGGAGATCACCAGGGCTCTCTTCAGAGGCACCTCTGAATGGACTTGAACCTCCAACCTTTCAGTTAGCAGCCAAGTACACTTTCCATTTGTATATCCAAGGACTCTTTACCCACAATATTTGCCTTTAAATCCTTACAAAGTTGACGTTTGTTTAAGTGTGAACATTGTTATGGGCATGTGTATTTCTCTGAACATTTTGAATTCAGTTAAGAAAATGGCTCATGTTCCCGTATTTTTTAATATCCCATCTAATCTCCAATCTCAAACCCAAAGTTGATCTGGGCAATGCAGTCTCATTATTGACTGAATGGTTTCAGATCTGATTTGTCATTTCAGATATCATAAATGAAAAGAAAGGCATTATAGTATTATGGGAAAAGCATCTAATTTGGGGTCTGAAAAGTTGGGATCAAGTCCTAACCCTATCATTTACTAACATTGACCAGGCACTTAATTTTCCTGATTTCTAAAATGGGATTAACAGCACCTACTTTATAGGGTTGTTTTGAGAACTGAATTCAAGATAGCTGTTTCCATTATTATAACTTAATATCTGAGCTATGAGGATAATGTACACCAGAACCCTCAGTTGCTCTGGTGTCTAGTCATTTTTTATTGTGCCAGGTTCTCAAGGAAGGTGCTTATATCCCACAAAGTATCCAAGCAAATAGGCAACATATTCTTGGCAAAATAGTTATATTGGCAACCTTGCAAACAGTTTAGAGTCATAATGGGCAGTGAGATGAGCTATGCTATAGGTTATAGTTGTCTGTCACCCCCCACACACACACTTTATATTGTGTTTCTAGAGACAACAAGGTGTCCACAGATAAGTTTACTTTACAAATAAGGCTTTTGAATACTATGGGCTTGTTACTTACTTCTGCACTCTTTAGGAGCCCCTGTTTTGCCATCAACTGCCTCCCAGGGGCGGTCATTGTATAATGGTGCACAGTGTTGGCAATGGGTGCCTGCTGTGTTGTGCTTACACATACACTTCCCATGGACCTACAAACAAAAATAATTAAGAGCTATGAGCACAAATGATGCTAGGGAAGAAAGTTCTTCCTCTAATTTCATATCATTGGTTGGCTTTAGCCATAAGACAATATTCATTAATTTTTCTGAGAAGTTAGCAATCAAAATGAGTGATTCTTTCTTAATTTTTCTTATGATTAATCCAAAAGATTAAGTAACATATATTCTTGGCTGTAGGACATGTAACCCTAATGACAAATTATGATGTACTGGCTAGGCATTTATTTAAATGTTTGATACCTTTAAAGTTTTTCTTTACCCAGTAGTAATATATCTTCACTATAGAAAATTCAGAAATCTATAATCTCATCACAAATTGATTTCCTTATCAATATTTGGGGCATATAGTTCCATATTTTAAAAAATATAATTATATTTATAACTTTTTAATATATAATATGTTAAGAATATCTGTCCATGTCATGGAGTATTCTTGTATAACACACATTTTAATGGCTCTTTTGTATTGTGTACAATTTATTTGATCAATCATCTATTTTTGGTTATTTAGGTTTTTAAAATATTTTTATGTATTATCTTCAGTGTTATAATGAATACCCTGATAGCTAAGTATTATGTATATTTTTATTTCCTTGGAATGTGTTTTCTAGAAGTAAAATTGATGGATCAAATTATGTATATTTTTCAGGTTTTGAATATATTTTGTCATATTTGGAACACATTTTCTTTTGAGCTTATAGATAAGAGTATTTGAGGATTTATTAAAACAGTATTTCTATCAAGGAGGAATAATACTTCAATAGAATTATTAGTGATCTGAGAATTTTATGAGAATTTAAATTGTTCTGACAATTTCTAAAAATTAATAGTTTTAATCATCTGGAACACCTCCTAATAACTAAGTATTGCCATGAATTCCAGTACCAAGATGCATTTATTGACAAATGATGCCATCAGTACAAATGTAAGTTTTGCAAAGGAGCTAATCATGGGATTCACAAATGTATTCTTATGGGTCTATGAGATTTAATTTCTTGAGAAACAGTGTTTAAAGTAACTCAGTAAAAAAGTAATAAATTATATCAACTAGTCATAAAATAAAGGAGCCCTGGTTGTGCATTGGTTAAGCACCTGGCTGCTAATGGAAAGGTTGGTAGTTTGAACCCACCAGCCGCTCCATTGAGAAAGATGTGGCAGTCTGCTTCTGTAAAGATTTACAGCCTTGGAAATCCTATGGGGCAGTTCTCCTCTGTTGTTATAGGGTCACTATGAGTCAGAACTCTGGTAGCATAGTGGCTAAGGCACTTGACTGCTAACCAGAAGGCTGGCGGTTCAAACCCACCAGCCACTCCTCGGAAGGAAGGTTGGGCAATCTACTTCCGTAGTGATACTGCCTCGGAAACCCAAGGAGGGGTTGCTATGAGTTGGGTCTGACTCCACGGCACATAACAACAACAACATGAGTCAGAACTGACCTGATGGCAATGAGTTTCTGGTTTGGTGGCTCAGTAATTAAACACACCGCTGCAAACTGAAAGATGTGTGGTTAGAGTCCACAGTCCACAATGGCCCCTTGGGAGAGAAGACCTGACAACCTGTTCTCGTGAAGATTGCAAAGATTACAGCCTAGGACACCCTCTGGAGCAGTTCCATTTGGTCATATAGGGTTGCTCTGAGTTGGAATTGACTTGATGGTATAAAACAATCGTCAACCAATATTTAATGAATATCTACATGAGAGAGTCACTCTGCTAGACTGTGTTTAGTATATAAAGCATTACAAAATGTAATTTTTGCCTTCAAGAAAGATACAGTGTAGGTGGAGAAAAAAAACTTACATAGAAAAAAAAAAGATTAAGCCATCCCATTACTAGGTATATACCCTAAAGAAGTGAGAGCCATAACAAGAACAGATATATGCACGCCGATGTTCATCGCAGCACTATTTACAATAGCCAAAACTTGGAAACAACCTAGATTTCCAACAACTGAGGAATGGATAACCAAACTTTGGTACATTCACACAATGGAATACTATGCAACGCTAAAGAATAATGTAGAATCTGCAAAACACCGCATAACGTGGATGAACTTAGAGGACATTATGCTGAGCGAAATAAGTCAGTCACAAAAGGACAAATATTGTATTAGTCCGTTATTGTGAAAGTTAAGGAAAGGTTTATATATTGGAGGACATTTTCTTTGTTGGTTACCAGGGGTGGGAGGGGAGGGGAGGGAACATGGTTAGATAGACAGAGATAAGTATTGATTTGGGTGAAGAGAAGGGCAATGTACCAAATGTGAGTGACCAATATGGCAGCATTGAGGATGAGAAAGACATAGAGAGTTACATGGGCAGTACAGACAACAAATATGAACCCCTTTGTAAATACAATACTGAGTTGTCAATGAAAGCAAACATGGGTATAGGGACGGATAGATGGGTGAACAAGCTAAACAATTATGTATGTCTAAATGGAGAGTGTATCCAAGATCATATACAGGGTTGGCAGACAATGGGCCTCTCGAAGAGTATGAAGGGATGGACACTGGGAGGAGGTAACTATGGGGAGGAAGTGGGAGGGGAGCTGCTGCATTGTAAATTTTGGTCAATGACATGAGACAAAGTATATGTGAACTGCTGTATGAAAAGTGAATTTACTCTGTAAATCTTCACCCAAATCCTAATAAAAAAAAAAAGATTAACAAGGCAATTAATACGTACTTGTTGTTGTTGTTGTTGTGTACCGTCGAGTCACACCTGACTCATAGAAATGAAATGGTGCTGGAATTTTAAAAATGCAGTAGTCATTATAGGTTGGCAGTTATGGGGGGCTTTATTGGAGGGGTTGGAATTCGAGCTAGCCCTTGACAAATGGGCAACATTTTTGACAGGCAGAGGGAAAAGATTTCCCAAGAGAAGGAAACAGAGAGCCAAGGTGTGGCTCTAGGAGGCAAAGTAGAATCTGTACATAAAAGTTTATTTCAGAGCACCTTGAATATTTTGACTGCAATGGTAAAGGAACTATTCAAAAAGACAATTACTCAGAGAGGCCAAAAACAAAATGAATCCCTAAAGGAGAGTTCAACAAACCTAGAAATAGCCACACCAATACATTGATGCACTGCTGCTTGACCTCAGATAACATCTGAATAAGTTGTGTCATCTTATCCAGGAGTCCGTTTCTCTTTTAATACTTTCCTAACATGTACCTCTTTAGTTCCACTGGTGGAGGCACTCTGGAAATAGCATCTGCATTATCCAAGTGTGTTATATAAGTACCATGGGTCTTCAACTCACATAATGTTCAAGTGCAGGAATTACCCATCAGTCTTAGAGGACTTCTGGTTGCTTGTGAATGAACCATAAAAGGCCTAAAGTTATAATATTTTATAAATAATTATGTTGATAGATGTTTTGCTAAATTTCATTTCTGTGTATTATGCAATATAAAGTTAGAGCATTTTTTTTTGTTTGTTTGTTAATTCTCAGGGTTCAGTGAGGCTATGGATATTTTAAAAAGAAAGTGGAATTGGCTCCTTGGAGTACAAAGATATTACAAATATTTTGTTAATTCTCTCTATAGAAACTAAACTAGTATTATAGATTCAAATTACTGGTTTTGATCTTGGAATGCCAAGTGTGAGTTATAGCTACCTATTTTCTTGGCTTCTTTCATGACTAGTTCTGATATGAACTTTTTATATATAGAAGTCCCATGAGCGTTGTAAGAGTTCATTAGCATATTGCCATTCACACATTCAAGCAAAAGATCTGCAGAAATTCAATTTCTACTGCTCTAGAGGAGCAAGATCTTTCATCTTAGTTCCTGGATAATGGATTTTTCATATATTCTAATAGATGCTTTGGTCCTACTGCTTTTTTCTTTTGTTTTGTTTTAACTTACTTATTGTTGCAAACATGTATGCAACAGAACTGTTGGTTGTACAATGATCTTCACATGTACAGTTCAGTGATATTAATTATGTTCATCATGTTCTTCAGCCATCACCTTATCAATTCCCAAATTATACCATCATGCTTACCTTTTGTTAAAGCCTATTGCTTTTATTAAATCTTTTTTATTTAACATTCCCTCTCATCATGGAAAAATAGAAACTCTTATCAAACAATCTGTGCACTATCAGGTTCTTTAAAGGTAGTCAGTAAAAGCTAGATGATTATTTACTTGTAGTGTTAGGTGTTAATTTCAAATAAAATAGAGTCATTGGAAAAATTGAGTAGAAAAAATTTTCAAGGTTGAAGAGTTTAAAATGAAGACATATTTATGCAGATAGCAGAAGTTGAGAGAATAATCTAGATTAGTAGGAAAAGCACTTTTGTATTGCCTATATTCCACAAACTGTCAAAACACAGCAAAACAAACAACAGGCACACAAAACATCCAGCATGCAAATAATTTGATAGAATTAGAGACAGATTCCTAGAACAAATCATCCTAATGCATCACTGCTGGTAAGGGGGTTATACAGACTACTATCTAAGGATGTCATTACAGAAAATGTTAAGGAGTCTAAAGGAAGTATGATGGAGACCATGATCAATAAATGCTACCTGTATCAAACTTATAAATATTGTTCCTGAGGCTGTGTCTTGAAGGGTTCATAGGATTTCCCTTAGGAGCAAAGACAAGAAGATAAGAACCCAAAAGGAATATTCAGGGAACAGTCAATAAACAAACTAGAAGTTATATGTTGGAGAGGTAGGCTAGATCCAGATCATGGAACACATTAAATTAAACATCAGTTTTGGAACTTACCTCATAGGCAATGGAGATCCATTGAAGATTTTTGAGTAAGGGAAGAGTGAAAGGTATACTAAATATACTTTCCTTTTTAAAAATTGCTGCCTCCCTTCTATCTTTCTTCCCCTCCTCCTTTACCATTCTTTTTTTTTTAAACCCCAGTTTATGCATTCCAGCAGTCAATGGCACCCACATGCATTTTCTAATAAGCAGAATTTTAAAGGGTTGTTGATTCTCATTTAT